ATGGAGGCATGCTGGAGTTCATCCTCGACAATCATGTGCAATTGTGGGGATATCATCTGAAGGCAATGTGTGCATCTCTGAGCTACGAGATGCCGCAAGCGAGTTTGTCCAGCCAGTCTCGCCTCAGACATCCTCGCAACTCTTGCTCTGAGATGCCGCCCAAGAGGTGGTCCAGCCAGTTTCGCTTGAGACATCCCCGCAAGTCTGGGCCCATATGCCCTGACGTGAGGTGGTCCAGCCAATCTCGCCTGAGCAATCCTCGCAACTCTCTCAACTCTCCTGCGCGCAATTCCTCTGTCTTCTTGTACTCGTTCATGCCCATCTGGCTTATTGGCGTTGTCACCGTGCTCGCCATCGCCACCGTCGCGGATGATGGCTCAGGCACCAGCCGGAGGTTATTCCCCTGGTCTGAGACCATCGTGCACTGAGTTTGATCGGTGTGGATTTGCAATGGCAGGCGATCCAGGCGGACATTTTTCTTTCGCTGGGATCCTGGATCCTTTGCCTGTAGACTGCGCGCCGGTGTTCTTCGACGCGTTCGCCCACGTCGACGCGTCTCTTGCTGTGCCAGTTTTGCAAAGCCTCTTGGCTGGCGAGGCGACGGGGAGATCGATGACATCGCATTGGTAAACGTCATTTGGAAAATGAAGACGCACTTGCCGAGCTTGGTCGACATGCGTTGTGGACCAGGGAATCTGCCTGCACGTCTGAAGGATCTGCAGGATGCTGCGCCTGATGCCGTGCTGGTGCGCATTCCAGCCCGCCAGGGAACGTGCCCTCACTGCGACGGGGTCTTTCTTTGCCCATGCCCTGGCGTGGATAGATGCAACCGCGGCCGGAATTCACCTGCGTTGAAGGCCGCTACCGGGCTACCGCGCCTGAGGGAACGCCGCAAGGGAGCAACCTGTGCGTGCGTTACAAGATATACTCACAGACGGCTGGGGTGCAGCACGCCATGTTCGAGGAAAGCCGGTGCCCAAAGTGCTCGCGTTTCTTCTTGGGGGGGTGGTCCTACAGGAAGAACGTCGGCGCGCAGGGCCAACCCACGTTCGGCCGCTCTACGGACGTCAAGTTTGTGGGAAGCACCGTCGACGATTTGCGCGCGGTCGTCCCCCGCCAGCAGAGTTATTTTGCGGTGGAGACAGAGCTTCTGCGTTCAATCACGGACCAGTTGGCGCTCAGCGGTGCCACTTCTACTTCCATTACGCACGTGTGGGCACGACGGCACCGCAGCGCCCTCCAGACCGTTTGGCGGTAGGAGAGGACTTCACCCTTCTTCACCAAACCCGCGATTGCCTCGAGCTCGCATGGTTCGCGTGGCAGGCTACGCGCCTGGCAGGCGACGCAGCTAAGGAGCAGACGCGGGTCTTCGAACCTTCACAGTTCGAAACAATTTTGCCCCAGCTCCGGCCAGCTTTCCGGATGTCCAACTTGCAGAAAGCAGCTTCCCACGTCGCATCCTGTCCGCGGTGCCAGCGTTTGCTCCTGGTCATCGGCGACGGCAAGCGCGGAGCGTGCCGCTGTACTTGCGCGGGCACTGCTGGCTCGATCGCATTCCCCGACGTGGGGGCGACGCTCTACACGGGGTGCCGGGCGCACGTCGGCGGCGGGCGCCACTTGTGTCCGACGTGCCGACCTTCTGGCAAAGAGAAGAATTGCCTCCTTCCTCAAGCACGGGTCCTTCGAGCCGAACTCGCGGAAAATCCGGACAGCAGCCTCGGCTTCGAGACCCGCTATGTTGTCGAGTGCAAGACAGATTCCAACGGCGGCGAGCTCTTCGAATTTGCCCACCCGCGCTCTGAGGCGCGGCAGGATCTGCTTGCGGACTACGAGATCGGCAGCCTTCCTCTACGGAGCGACCCGAGGCAGAAGTTGCAGAGGCCGCCCACGTGGAAGAGCAAATTGCAGAAGTCATTGTGGCACGGGGACGCCCGTGGCTCCTGCGCCCCTAACCAGCCGCGGAGCAGCGCCGGTGCTGAGTCCGGGAAGAGCGCCGGCGGGGTGGCGCCCGGGCGCGACGCAAGGCGCCCGACGTCCGCGCACGGCCGCCCAGCAAGCCTGCGCAGAGGGCGTCGCCGCAGGCACCAGGGTCGCGCGGCAAGCGCACTGCTCGGCCGAAAGCGCATGGCCTTCGCGCGCCGGCCGCCAAAGCGCGCGGTCGGCCGCGGCCCAGCCCCGCGGCGTCACCGCCAGCAAGCGGGCGGGCGAGGCGCAGGCATGATGTTGCATCTGCCTCGAAGTGCGCCGCCGTCGGCCCCGGTTGGCTGTGCGACGCCCGCGAAGTTGAGGCCACGAAGACTTCCTGCGGCATCAGCAAGGAGAACGCGTCTGAGGCGCGGCGCCGACGCTGCGCGGGCGGCATCGTGACGGCCGTTCTCCAGCGCGGCTACCTCGTCGACTGGCAGGAGCTGTGGCGAGAAGAAAGTATCGAGGTGATGTACTTGTTCTTCCTCCGGCTCTTCAAGGACCTCTCTGAGTTGGAGGCGGCGATTCAGGTCATCGGCTATGATAACGCTTGCGAGTTGCTCGCGTTCGCCAGGAAGAAGAGGGACATGCAGAAGCCGTGGTCGCTGGAGTTCGCGGACAGGGCGAAGATAATCTTGGGCGGCTTTCACAAGGGGAACCACGCGTGGCGCCTTAACAAAATCCCAGAGGTGAGCCCTGACACTGAGGAGAACGCCGAGCTCCTAGCCGGCAAGAACACTGAAGCTTGTGAGCAGCTGAATGCGCGGATCAACGAGCGCACGGCGTCCGGGCGGGAGATGGCGCCAGGCCGCTTCGGCGCGCATTGGTGGGCGCTGTTCGCCGACCACAACGAGTGGCTGGTCCAGCAGGCGGAGTGCAAGCGCAGAAGGTACGCATGCGGCCACATGAAGCACGACCCAGACATCTCTCGGCCAGGCCGGTCTCGCGGAGGCCTCGCTGCGTAGGTAGTTCGCGCGCGCCGCCCAGATGGCCGATGCGGATTTGACTTGCACGAGACTTGGCCGTGCTGCAGAGCCCCCCCCCTTCGCTGGCCTCATGCGGTTTTGGAGTGCGCGCGCTGTCTGCGCGCGTGGAACCGTGGCGGGTATGGTACTGGATCGAAGAGAAACGCGCGCAGGCATGCGGCGTAACCTTGATTCACCCAGGCTTCGCTTCGCCCGAATCGACTCGCCCGTTTCGATTCCCGCTCGAGTCGCCGGGCTCGTTTCGCTTGTCTCGATGCGCCCAAGTCGATTCGCCCGGGTCTCTTTTCGCCCACGTCTTCTTTCGCGGACACCCGACCCGCCCGTTGGGAATCCCGCGTGCCAATGAGATTGTGAATCGCAATGGGGTGTCCCGCGCGGCCGACCCGACCCGCCCGCGTAGGCCCGCCCGACCCAACCTGACCCGACCCGCCCGTTCGGGCCCGCCTGCCCGGCGCGACTTGTCCCGCCCGTTCGGGCTCTCGCGTGCCAAGTCGATTAGGCACCGCACTTTACTGTCCCGCCCGCCCGACCCGACCCGACCCGTTCGGTAGGGTCCGCCCGACCGGAGCCGACACGACCCGCCCGTTAGGGCCCGCCCGCTCGCCCCGACTCGACGCGGCCCGCCCGCTAGGGTTCTCGCCCGCCCGCTGGGGAACTGGTGGTCCGGTGATCCGGTGATCCGGTGATCCAATGATCCGGCGGTCCAGTGATCCGGTGATCTGGTGATCCGGTGATCCGGTGATCCGGTGATCCGGTGATCCGGTGATCCGGTGATCCGGTGATCCGGTAATCCGGTGATCCAAGGATCCGGTGATCCGGGCATCCGGTGATCTGGTGATCCGGTGATCCGGTGATCCGGTGATCCGGTGATCCGGTGATCCGGTGATCCGGTGATCCGGTGATCCGGTGATCCGGTGATCCGGTGATCTGGTGATCTGGTGATCCGGTGATCCGGTGATCCGGTGATCCGGTGACCCGGTGATCCGGTGATCCGGTGAGCCGGGGAACCAGTGATCCGGTGATCCGGTGATCCGGTGATCCGACCACCCCCGTGTTGGCCTTGTCAAGCCTGACCTCGGTACGGTTGCCCAGGCTGTCCTCCTGGAAGCGTATCCAAAGCCCGGCCATCCGCCCAAATTCAGAGAGCTCCCTGAGGTGCGACCCCGTGGCCGTGGTGAACATTCTTCCATCCCCGATGATGATGACGTGTGACCTGGCACGCGTGATAGCGACGTTGACTCTATTGGGATTGTGCATGAAACCCCAGTCGTGGGCGTAGTTGGATCGTGTGGTCAGGTAAACCACGATGTCGGCCTCACCGCCCTGGCTGGAGTCGATGGTGGAGATGTTGAGCTTGCCGCTGGCCAGGTGTTTCCCAGCTACTTGGTATCCAGGGAAATGAAGCCCGATTCCATTGGACTGGGAGCTCCATTGCTCAAAAACCTGTTCGTGCCCTCGCTGGTCCCGGAGGTCGCAAGGCCCTTTGAATTCGCATTTGCCGTCGCCTTTGTCCCTGTTCCTAGCCTGTCCAAAGGAGCCGATGATGCTCCGACCCGACTGGGGCCAGCCCTTCTCGAGCACCGCGCATTGAAGCTGGTACCCTACCACGACCATGACAGTGGTCCCACCTTCCATGGCGGGCAAGAGGGCCCTCACTACGTCAACCGCCTGTGCGGCCTCTGGGATGTTAGCGTAGCCAGAATGAAGATTGGAGGTGACCTCAACTGAGGGGTTGTCAACCAGGATAAACCGGTGCCTTTCTTCAGGGTGCTGCGATGGGGGTTGAAGGTCCCGCAGTAACGTCTCCATGTCGTCCGTGGTAGTGTTGGCCGATGGGGGTTTACGCGAAGCGTCTAGCATAGTTGCCACCCAGACTGCTGCGTTGGCACGGTGGCGGAATTGCTGGAGGCCATGGGGTGGCTGACCCATGGCAGCGATCTGCTGCCAGCGAGGCGCCGGCCGTACCCAGCAGAGCACTGCCACGGATCGACCGCCCCTGGTCTCTGATCAGAAGTGGTGGTGGCGGGGACCAAAAGAAAACTGAAGAGCCTTCTCCTCCGCGTCGATGTCGCCCAGGCGCTTCTCTGCGGCCGCCTGGCCAGCTCCCGACGGGCGGCGAGGGATGACAAGGACGATGGCGGCGGCGGCGACGGCGGCGGCAGCGGCGGCGATGACGACGACGGCGGCGGTGGCAACGACCTGCTGCTGACGCCGCTCCTTCGCCTCCTGCCGAAGGCGCGACAGTGCCCTGTCCTTTTCGCGCTCGGCGTCCCAGAGCTGCTGCTGGCGCGCATGCGCCTCCTCCACCTCGCCCCTGAGGCTCTCCACAGCCTGCGCCGTCGAACGCTCCTTCTGCAGCAACTCCTGGTGCTCCGCATGCAACTGCGGCAGGAGCTCCTCGGCGCCCCGCGTGGCCTGCTCGCGCAAGGTCGCCTCCAGCATCGCCAGCTCGGCTTTGGCGTTCCGCAGGCGCCGCGCGACGACGTCCGCGCGCTCCTGGACGGCCTCCTCGGGGAAACCATGAGGTACCAATACCGCTACTGCCCAGACCTCTCCCGGGGCGCGTCCTGACCAGGACTTCGAGGCGAATCCAGCCGTGGTGACGAGGGCCTACCAGGAGCCCGAAGAAGGCGAAATCGAGGCAAGGGTAAAAGTATCGGTGCCTTTTCCTCCTCTGACTCCTGCTCCCGCCGCCACTCGCGCTCCACCCTCTGCACGTCGTCCACGCCCATGGCCCTGCTGAGCTTGGCGAAGCGCCCCGCCACGGCCTTTAGGAGGGCGCCCACTATACACCTACACCGATGCTGGCCAAGCTCCATCTGCGCCCATGATGCGCCCTCCTGGCTGCTTAGGCAGGAAGGCCTACACACCGATCCGGGGCGAAGGACCGGCCTGGCCATGATCGGCGCAGGTGTGTCGAGCCCCCATCCACCCCTTCTGACAGCACGTGCACCCCCCCCACCGCGGATCCAGGGGGGGGGAGAGGGAGGCGATGACTGTCCCATGCAGAGTGTCCCCGACTTCGTGGGGCTATCGAAGGAACCAGAAATTGACAGAAGATGGTGCCCTCCGAGCCTTCCCCACGCGGCTCTCGATGTCCCTTTGCTCCCCGCGCAGCTGCGCCTCCTCCCCAGCCAGCCTCTCAGCCACCGAGCCCGCGGCGGCGACTACCGCCTCCGCGGCCTGCAACTCCCGGGCCTTCTGCGCCGCCTGCTCCTGCAACCAGCGCAGCCGCGACGCCGCATCGCTGGCCCTGGCGTCCGCGCGGCGGACCTCGTCCTGCAGCGCGGCCCGCTCCGCGCCGCCGCCGCCCTCCGCCGCGCAGAGCTCGCCCAAGCGCCTGTCCACCGCCTCCAGCCGCGCCCGCGCCGCCTCGAGCTCGGACACGTCGAAGCGCGTGCCGCCCTCGCGCGCGGCCTCCGAGCTCACTGACAGGTTCCCGTTCTTCGCGATGGCCTCCCCTGCTAGCGTCACGACCTTGCACTTGAGGCCCAGGGCACGCGCCTCCTGGAAGGCGAGGCGGCGGCCGTCGGCCATGGTGTCGGCCACCACCGTGTCCCCCAGCAGGAACTCGAAGGCGCGGGCGAACCCCTCCCCGAAGGTCACGCAATTGAGCGCCAGCCGCGCGGTGCGCTCGTCCTTGACGAGCTCGTCGAGCCGCGGATCGACCGGGTCCACTCGGAGGTCGCCCAGGGGCAAGAATGTCATCGGCGGCTGCATCCGCTCCTTCAGGTACCTGGGGGCAAACAAGAATACCAATACCGCTACTCCTCGGACCTCTCCAGGGGTGAGTTCTGACCAGGCTTTCGAGGCGAATCCAGCCGTGGCCACGAGGGCTCTCCAGGGCGGGCAGCGGTATCGGCATCTCTGCTCCTCCGAGTGCCGCACGCAGCGGCGGGCCGTCTCGCTGGTGTCCACGACGACCGCGTCCAAGAACTTGCCCACGGCCACGTTGACGGCCACGTGCAGGCGCTTCTGGGACGGGCGGCACAGGTCCACGACCCTGCCGTGGACGCCGGGCACGGCCTCCTTCAGAGGAGCAACAAAAAAAACACACAACTGCACGGAGTTTTCGGAGTTTTCGGAGTTTTCGGAGTTTTTCGCGGAGTTTTCGGATCGGAGTTTTCGGATCGGCGCGGAGTTTTCGGATCGGCGCTGGTCCTTCCCTCCCTGGCGCGCGGAGCGCGCTAGGGGCGGCGCTGGAGACGCCGCCAAGGGGGCCCAGCGCCGACCCGAGAAGTCCGCGCGGAGCTCCGAAAAACGTACGGCAGGTTCGTGCCGTGCCGACCCCAGCGTTGGTTTTTGACACCGCAGGGATCGTTCAACCTTGAACGATCGGCCGCTGCCGCAACGTCCGATCGTTCAACATCGATCGATTCTGGGCCGCCGCCGGCGTTCAACCTTGAACGCCCGCGCTGGGGTCGCCGCGGGTCGACACGACGCGAACCTACCGTATATTCATTCAATGTTGTTATGTTGCTCGATCCCAGACCTCTCCTTGGGCGCGTTCTGACCTGGATTTCTAAGCGAATCCAGCCGTGGCGGCGAGTCGAGAGGGCTCTCCAGAACGAGCCGCGGAATCGGCATCCTTCCACTCTCCTGACCTTCAAGGCCGAGCAGACTTGCGAGAGCTGGCGCTCCCTCTCCACCTGCCGCTCGGCGGCGGCGACGTCCTGCACCGTGTCCAGCAGCTGCTGGCGCTCGGCCTGCAGCTGCTCCCGCTCGTCCGCCACGCTGGCGGCCGCCTCCTTCAGAGGAAGAAAGAATGACATAACTTCGCGCGAGGCGCCACGCGATGCGCAGTTATCTTCCCAGATCTCCTACGATATGATGTTCTCAACCTGCGGTTGTTTCGTATATTTCGGCCCTCAGGGTAGCTTTTTCGAGCCCCGGGGCCATCAAACATAGATCAAGGACGAACAACTACCCTGGGAGAAGTGGTCGGGCCTCCAGTGGACCTCCTTACGTAGAAAGAACGACATACGGTCAGGAACTTTTGCATGCAATGTCGCGGCGGCGGCCCCCTATGCCTTGCAAGCGGATGGAATGTCTCTCCACCCCACGGAGCGTAAGCCTGGGAACGGCTCGGGGCGATGACGCTGCGGGGGGCAAGACGAGGATAGCGTGTCGCGCCGAAGCGTGATGCGCCAGAACCAGCAGTGCGACACGTAAAGCGCAATGTCCCGACCGCAAACATACACTTCTGGAGGTCCGCGCGGATTTCACGGATCGGCGATGGACTTCGGGGAGGGAGCCTTTTGAGTATTTGGTGTTGTGTCGGAGACGGAGGCTGTTGAGCACTGGGTGTTGTGTTGTAGACGGAGGGGGTAGAGTGGAAGGTCATTTTCAAATCCATCTCGGGAAGGGAGCCTATTTGAGTTTTGGGTGTTGTCGGAGACGGAGGCTGTTGAGTACTGGGTGTCGCTACCTGGCGCGCGGGGTGCGCGCCAAGGGCGGCGCCGGAGCGGCGCCAGGGGGTCCCAGCGCCGACCCAAGAAGTCCGCGCGGAGCTCTGAAAATCGGTCTTTGTGCAGTCTCTTCCTGCGAGGCGGGGTAGTATTCATCCGAAACCACCACCTGAAGGATCGATCTTCGTTGACCTCGGGGGACGGCGGTACGGACATTTTTGGCCACCCCATGGCCACAAGATGTGAGAGAACGCATTTGACGAGCGCTTGCCTTGGCAACATCCCGCGACACATCATAATTGAGGCCCCCCCACCCCCCCTTGACCATCGAGCGCGCCTGGACAAACCGGGGTGACCAACCGGGGAGAATTCCCTGCCCATATCCCCCCACCCAACTCAAAGGGGGGAAGGTTCGACAACCCCCCCTCCCCTCAAATCCCCCGCCCGTTCTCGCCACCAGCAAACATCGACGACGGGGGCGCCCGCAAACGGCGACCGACGACGATGAAGACAAGGACCGTCGTCGGTCGTTGTTCGTCGGTCGTCGGTGCCGTCGTCGTCGTGGCCGCCGCCGCTGCCGCCGCGCCATCCGCCGTCGCTGTTTGCACGCATCGGCGACAGCGGTCGTCGTTGGCCGGCGGCGAAAAACGGAGGGGCGGGTCGAACCCCCCGCTTGCATCCAGGGGGGGGGAGGAGGGGATTCGATCGCAAGGCGGACAAATCACAAGCTACATGCGCCAGCCCCAACCGACTGGGACACATTTACACAGGCCGACAAGCCCACTGGGACCAACTACAATCTGCCATCATTAAACTTACACAAAAACATGACACATGATTGTGAGCATTTTCTAACACGATCCATTCCTATAGACCAGAGAAATTTCTAAATCAAGCACTTGGCGGGGGAGGCAGCAAAGGCGCCAGGGTTGGAACTGATACCAACTTGTTTCGTTATATATGGGGTTTGTGTAGTCGCCGAACCAGCAACGATCAATTGTTACACTGGAGCTGCATGCCTTCCGCATGAGGCATGTAGAGATTGCATCCAAAAGCTTGGGACCGCTCGTATTCAAAATGCACAACGTTCGCTTCGGATGTGTGCGGGGTCCAGAGGCGAGCGGTATAGTACTCATTTTTAGAACGTCTACTTCATCAAAGAACTGTATCGTTCCCACATGACAAACGATCGTCCATAATTAATGTGTGCAGCTCTCACATGAAAGCTTGTCTCGCTCTCGTGAAGGGTACCTGGGCGTTTCGCATTCTCGCGAAGTTCTTCAGATGAGAATTGAATAGCTTCCAAAGCAGATTTGTCCACTTGTCATATGACGGGTTTCTTGGGTTATGTTCCGTGGGAACCTGTGCAGCTCTCATTCAGGAGCTGGTCGGTTTCCGACGGTGGCTGCGTAGAATGCGCATAGAAAGTGCCTCAATCGCACAAGGGAGATCGGAAGCTTTCACAGACTAGCTGGTTAGATGTCGTTTGGAAGCGGTGCAGTCGTGACCTGATACTTGTGCAGATTTCACATCGGAAAACAGAGTAACCTACCACGAAGCTTTTTGCATTCGTTGTCAGGTGGGGGGTCGTCCTTGGGATGTGGGGGGTGGGCGGCCGCAAAACAAAAGGATTTTTTTTGTGTGGTTCAGCTAAAAGAACCCGCTTGCATTCCTCAAGCAAAAAACTCTTTTGCATTTCGCCGCAAAGGAAATCCTTTGGTATTCCGCCACAAAGGGAATCCTTATATATTCCGCCTCAGAGGGAATACTATTGAAATTTATATAAAAATTGAAAACAATGGCCCAGCACAGCGATCACAGCGTTTTTAATTAACAATCTTGTATTATCATTGCCAGTGGCAGCGATCACAGCGTTTGTAATAAAAAAAAATGCATTGTGATTTTCTTGTTCATGGCCAGGCACATCGGTCACATAGGTCACAACTTTTTAAGTATTTATATTTACATATATATAAAACGATGGGTACCCGCTTTAATACAACGTTGCGAAAACATAACTTGTCCTCATAATTGCATTAGGAAATCAAGCAGAACCTGGTGTTTTCGAAGCGTCTTACTAATCATTTACAACGCTGTGGTCGCTGTGCCTGACTATGAAAACAATATTTGTAATTGAAAACGCTGTGATAGCTGTGTCTGGCAATGAAAATATAATACGTTCAAATACAAACGCTGTGGTCGCGGTGCCTGGGCATTGTTTTCAAATATTATACAAATTTGAATTGGGCTCTTTGTGAAAGAATACAAAAATCATTCATGTTGTAATGGAATTGTAAAAAATCCATGTTTGGCGGAATGCAATAGTATTCCTTTGCGACAGAATGCCAAGCAAATCCTTTCGTGGCGGAACGCGCAATAACTCCTTTTTGTAACAGGGTACAAAAGGAATTCCATGTGTGGCGGAATTCCAACATATTCATCCCTGTGGGAAACTACAAACGGATTTTTCTTTGCGGCGAACTACAGAGGAATTCCACTTGTAGCGGCATGCAAAGGAATTTACATTGTGCCCAACATGCAGAACATTTTTTTGCTGTAGAATACAAAATGATTTTCTTTGTGGCGACATAGAAAACGGTTCCATCTGTAGCAGAACTCAAAAAAATCACTCTGCGGCGGAATACAAAAGAATTGTCTCTTGTGCCGGCTTACAGAAGGATCCCCCCCTGCAACGGAAAACAACCGCATGCAAACCATTTTCTCGTGGCAGAACACAAGGATTCCCTCTGCAACAAAATGCGAAAGGAATTTCCTCTGTTACAGAAGACAAAAGGATCCCATTTGTAGCGGAATGCAAAGGGACTCCTTCTTGTGGAAGATTCCGAAAAGATTTCCTCTGTGGCGGAATGCAAAGGGGCTCCTTTTGTGGAGAATTTCCTGTTACGTTTGTCTCTCAGAAACTGTTATGGGCTCTCCGTTCTTCGAGCATTTGCAATGCAATAGCTCTTCGCAGTGTCAAACGCCACAACTCTGCTCTTCCTGCTGCAGCGGTCAAACATGCACATGGCTCTCTTGAGCGGGGATTTGATAGGTGTGGCAGATAGATATTAAGTTGATTTCCTGTTGCGGTTCTCTCTCAGAAACTTTCGCGGGCTCTTCGTTCTTCAGGCAATGAGAAGACAATGGCCCTCAAGCAATAGCAATGGCGAGGGGGGGGGGGGGGGGGGGGGAGGGAGGGGGGGGGGGGCGAGGGGAAGGAGAGAGAAACAAACTTTGAAGGCGAATGTCCGCGGCGCAAAGGCGCGAGCCTTAAATTGAAAACCGACCGCCCCCCCATCCGCGCAACCGTTGCAGACTGTTGAGACGACGAATCGACGGCTCAGGCGCCGTTTTTTTGTTTGCGAAGATCAAGAGACAATCCTTCTGCCCGCGACGGTCAACCAGCAGTTGACGCTGATCCATAAGTGCATATGTAATGGCTGCAAAACGATGCGCGAACGGTCAACCAACAATTGATACTGAAACGTAATTGCACGTGTAATGGCTGCATTAATTCGCTGGCCCAACAGGCCGAGGCGCGCTCAAATCTCAGATAACTGCATTGCAGTATCTGCGGACGGCGACGACGACAACGACGACGACGACGGGGCGCCAAGACGGCCCAATACGGCCCCAAGATGGCACGGCGGAGTGGACGAGGCGATTGAATAATGCGGAAAAGCAACGGTCAACCAGCAGTTGACACCGATCGATAAATGCACATACAATGGACGCATAAATAAAGCGTGAAAGACAACGGTCACTCATTAGTTGTCACATACATCAGAAATAAGCGGCACTTGGCCACCACTTTGGAAGGAGAGGTCGGCCCGCGGGATCCATTGCAATCACGAGCACATTAGATCCACTTCCACTCTTGTCAAGCAGCTCTGCAAGCATGTCGCTTGTTTCGCCGCCTCCATTGCGCCAAATCTTGACTCCATTGGGGGCCTCGTTGGGTGGGTACCCGCGTGCATATACCAACTCTTTAATCCAATTATCTTCACTTAACACCCGCTTGTTCAACCAGCTCAATCTCTCCCGGCATGTCTTCCCATCTGCGCAGCCAACAGGGCCATCGCCCAGAGTCACGAAGGCTTTTAACGCAGACCTCAGCAAATGCTCGTTCGAAGATTCTCTCTTGCGTCTTTCTCCGAAAGGTATGTTGATCTTCCATCTACGCCAAAAGCGCGGAGACAATGATTGATATTGTCAAGCCTGCCCTTCAACGCTGCCTGGCCGCATTTGGGCCGCGCCGTCGAGCAGCCCTCCGACGCCGCGCCATGCATGTTTGCAGATTTCCTTCATTCTGGCACCGAACATCCCTGAATCGAGACAGA